AGAGAGAGAGAGAGAGAGAGAGAGAGACAGAGAGTTGTACTGAACAATGACCTGTATGAGTCACTGAAAAAACACTTTTGACTCGAGTACTGACGAAGAGAATGAGAGTTTTAAAAAAGAGAACAATAGGGCTTTGTTCCTGGCATTGTAGGCCTACTATTTATGCAACATTTACTCTCTAACAATGGCATTTAAAAGAATTACTGAAGTGCGAAAAGATCAGTAAATAATTTTTCTTATATTATTTTCTTTTTGGTAAAGTTAGACAGGTTGAACTATTTAAAACCTGTTTATGTTGTTTTGTTTTGTTTTGTTTGTTGTTGTCGTTGTTGTTGTCGCTGTTGTTGTTTTTGTTGTTGTTGTTTTTGTTTGTGTTGTTTTTGTTGTTGTTGTTGTTGTTGCTGTTGTTGTTGGTAAGTGTTTTACGGCGCTCGCAACTGCATATGGTTATTTGAGCGTGCTTTAAAAGTTTGGAAGAGCTGGACATAGATGTAAATGTTCTAAGAATTGTTAAGAATTTTTTCAGGGACTTAACGCAGCTGTTAAAAAATCTGAAGGAAAGTATCGCAAATAAAGCAAGCTAAAAGAGGAGTGAGGCAAGGATGCCTTATGTCGCCAGACCTCTTTAACATATTAGTGAAGAAAAAAATCCTTGGAAATATATATATATTTTTTAAAAGGTCTCAAAGTGAACGTGAACATTTGTGTGATTAAAGGAGTTTAGGGCTGCCTTGCTTCAGAGGGAAAATTACAGAGAAAACGGCCCCCAAATTTGGCAACATCCATTGCCTAAGAGTCTTTGAAAACTGAAAAAAAAATATATATAAAATTTTGCCTTTGCTCAATGTTTTTCAGTGAACTCCAAACAAAATGTATTTATATCTGAACCTAAAGACTATTGAGCATCAAAAAAAAAAAGAGAAAAATTGGCCATCTACCTCAAAAAATTCTGATTTCGTTGATTTCATTATTTTGACGAGCGCCTGATTTTATCAGGATGCCTCACATTTTAATAGCATCAAACATGACGATGACCAGGTTTTAACTCATTCAACCCTAGACCTACACGTATGGGTAGTCAGCTCTCCCTAAATATTTTGACCATTTTTTTTGGTTGAAAAATTGAGAATAAAATAGTAAATTTCAGCATATTATCCTCCCCAAATTTGGTACACAATTTATTAAAACTTTCACTTGCTTATATTAACAAATTGAAAGCAAAATACGTTATAGGTTTTATGCAATACTGCATATATATATATATATATGTATACATATATATATATATATATATATATATATATATATATATATATATATATATATATATATATATACAGAGAACATACATAAATATATACAGAGTCAAAAAGTAATTTTAAAAAGCGAAGAAAGGAAGTGCGTTCAAATTTCGCACCTTCTCACAAGGTTAACGAATGTAGCATTTTTTTTCCTAAATTTGGGCCGCACTTCTGGTCATAGTCTGTTTCAAACGAAAAATGGTTACTTTTCCAATTAGGCTATAGTTTGCATCACACAAAAGTAATGTTTTCAGTCACGAGAGCGAAATTTTCCAAAACGATACTGTTCGCGTTAGGGTTGGATTGTTGTGCGCGCATAGATCTACCGATATTATCTGCGTTATTGCAGGGTGAGTTCAACTTCAGATTCAGAAAAGGACCTTCATCAATTACTTCTAGATACTGTTGGGACGGAAAGTGAACGTACAACATTATTTCGGAATGGGAAGAAAGCAGAATGCGTGGTAATATCTATTTTTAGAAAAATAATAATTCTAAAAAGAAAAAGAAAAAAGCAGGGAACCTAAGTTGTAATGTCATTAGCTAAGGTAAAAGAAAATCAAAGCAATTTCAACGGTTGATATTTCGAGGATATAAACTTACTACAGAAGTCAAAGTTTCCACAGAAATTTAACGAAGAATGGCTATAGCTAAACACAATTTCAAACAGAATGAGTCCAATTCTGAAAAATAGAAACATCTCAATTACTACAAAAATGACCATTTAAAAGGCTGTTCGTGGGCAACTAAATATATGTATTGAAAAATTACCAAATCGAGTGGAAATAAACTTGAACGAACAGAAATAATATGATTTGGTAGGGGAGGGAGGTTGTTTTTTTTCGAATTTCATGGAAAGAACTGAAATCAAATGAAGTAGTGCAGAAAGAATTCCATTTGGGTCTCTCACTAGTCTTTTTTAAAACGGTTTTCTTTTAAATTAAAAAACCCCAAAGACACCCCCCCCCCCCACACACACATACACATACACAACACAACACACACACAAAATTAGGAAGAGATCAAAAGCACAGTTTCTTGGACACGACTTGAATAGCCTTAAGGGCGTTGAACATCTAGCTCTCGTTGGCAAAATGAAGGCAAACAAAACAGAGGTAGACCCAGAGCAGGTAATTTGAACGACATGAACTGATGGGTGACGGGTAGAGGGACCACGATAGCTTCCGAGGAATGAAATCAATGGCGAACCATGGTTGCCAAAGTCGGTTGCAGATCTGGCATTTAACTATGATGAACATTATTATTATTGTTATTTTTATCATCATACTTCTTCTTCTTCTTCTTCTTCTTCTTCTTCTTCTTCTTCTTCTTCTTCTTCT